CCGGGGATTGGCTTCGTCAACTACAATTTAGTTCAATCTTAATTTCGCTTTTCAGTTTTTATTTTATTTTATTTTATTTTCGTTTATTTTATTTTATTAATAGTTAATTTCAATTTTTTTTTAAATTTATTAATCTGGTTTTTTTTAAATTTTTATTTATTGGAAAATTTCAGATTATTGGAATTGACTTGTGTTTCTTGTTTGTCTTGTTTATTATGTTTGACTGAGTGTATGACTGGAAGACGCTCTCAAAGTCAAGACCTCATACCGTTTGATCCTGAAATTGAGAGAACAGTTAGGAAACAAAAAGACAAATTCACTCATTCACTGGAACATCAAGAAGACGGAGGTTCTGTCGAAAATATAAACGAGAATAGTGACAAGAACGTTGGGGAACAACAATTAGCGCAAGAGGAAGCAATGGAACGAGTACAACCTGCTCGAGCTATGAAGGAGTACTCCATCCCAACTCTTTCCAACACTCCATCGTGTATTGTAGTACCAGCAGTTGAAGCAAATTCATTTGAACTCAAGTCTGGAATGATTCACTTGTTACCATCTTTCTATGGAAAGTCGAACGAAGATCCTAACATGCATATTCGGGAATTTTTCGACATTTGTGGCACGATCAAGATCCTAAATGTCTCTGATGAAGTGGTTAGGCTGAAATTGTTCCCGTTTTCATTAAAGGATAGAGCCAAAGCTTGGCTTCACTCACTACCAGCTGAATCCATTAATTCATGGGAGGGATTAGCTCAAAAATTTCTCCAGAAATTCTTCCCTGCGCAGAAAACGAATCAGCTTAGAAGAGATATCATGCATTTTAGTCAAGGAGAGCATGAGCCATTCTATGAAGCTTGGGAGAGATTTAGAGAGTTGCTGCAAAAATGCCCTCATCATGGCATTATTGATTGGATGCAGATGCACCTCTTTTATGAAGGACTTACGACTGCAAACAAACAAATGGTTGATTCTGCGTGTGGAGGTGCATTGATGGAGAAGACACCTCAAGAAGCGTTTGATCAATTTGATTTGCTTGCTAATAATAATCAACAATGTGGTAGTGAGCGGACAAGGAAGGTAGGAGTTTATGAAGTTGACACCAACACTGCGGTTGCTGCTCAAATTTCAAGCCTTGAGAAAAAACTTGAAACTCTTATGCGTGCTGTTATTCCACCTTCCCCACATCAAGTTTGTGCCATTTGTTCTGACCCAACTCATCCAATGGAGCTTTGTCCATCTACTATGCAAGGTTCTGAGCAAGTTCACCAAGTTAATTCGTTTCAGCGACCTCGGAATGATCCATATTCGAACACCTATAATCCGGGGTGGCGTAACCACCCAAATTTTTCATGGAGCAACCAGCAACAACAAGCTAGTTCTAGCCATCCCTTCCAGCAGCAAATGCAGCCTTCGAGTGAGCCTAAGAAACCAGCGTTGGAGGATATAATCGCTCAGTTTGTGCAGACTTCTCAACAAAATCAGAATACTATGCAAGCGTCCATCACTAAGTTAGAAACTCAAGTAGGTCAGTTGGCTACTATTGTGCATGAGAGGGCGCAAGGTACATTCCCAAGCCAACCTGAAATTAATCCTCGAAAATCTGAGCATGCCAAGGCTATTAGAACGCTGCGGAGTGGAAAATCATATAGTCCACAAGAGAATGATGCACCAAATGCTGGCCACGCTGAAGATCATGTCAAGAAGAGTGGTGAGGAGGTGGATATTACTTCTAATAAGCCAAAAATAGTCCCACCTACATCATCTATTACAGCTGTAGCCGAGAAGCCAAAGGGAGAGAGTTACACGCCATCCTTGCCTTTCCCACAGCCAGTTCACAAGCAAAGGAAGGACCAACACATGTTTGATATTTTGGAAATTTTTAAGAAAGTGCAGATCAACATTCCCTTGCTTCAAGCAATTCAACAACTTCCTTCTTATGCAAATTTTTTGAAGGATGCATGTACAAACAAGAGAAAATTTGCAGCTCATGAAAAAGTGATGTTAACTGAAGAGTGTAGTGCGGTGTTGCTCAAGAAATTGCCACCAAAACTAAAGGACCCAGGGAGTTTTACAATTCCTTGTATTATTGGTGATGTTCAATTTGATAAAGCATTTTTAGATTTAGGCTCAAGCATTAACCTTATGCCTTTGTCTATTTTTCAGCGATTAGGTATTGGAGAGCTCAAAAGTACTACCGTTTCTCTTCAACTTGCGGATAGATCAGTCACATATCCTAAAGGAATCATTGAAGACGTGTTGATTAGAGTGAATCAATTTGTGTTTCCAGCTGATTTCTTTGTTCTTGACATGGAGGAAGACCACGACATCCCACTCTTGCTAGGCCGGCCCTTCCTTGCTACTGCTGGCACATTGATTGATGTGCAACAAGGAACTTTAACTTTGAGAGTTCAAGGCGAATCCGTTGAGTTTAAGGTGTTTGAAGATGCTGAAAAACCAAGGGACTTGAAGGAGTGCAGCCGCATAGATCTCCTTGACCCAATTGGACATGTCAACTACTTGGAAAACACCTCTACGGATGTCTCGAAAGCCAAGTCTCCACCCACTCCATGCATGAAACGCATGCCCACTTCTCTTGGACGTGCTGGAATTTATCAATGTTTTATCAAAAGCTTTTCCAAGATGAGCCAGCTCTTGTGGCATCTCCTTGCCAAGGATCACACCAAGACATTGCATGACAAGGCTATTGTTCACAAGGAGTTTGGACAACAGCCCAAGCACTACATGGAAGAAGTAGCATTCTTTGCTACTTCCGCACCACCATAGACATTCGAAAAGTCTAGCTCATGACTATAAAGAAGCGCTTCTTGGGAGGCAACCCAAGCATTCTCACCTTTGTTTTCATTTGTTTTTGTCTTTAGTTTCTCTGTGATTTCTCTTGCATTTTTCATGTTTTTGTTTTTGTTGTTTTTGTTAAGTTTTGCATCATCAAACATAGGATTTTGTGTTCCAAAGAAAAATTTCGCATTTTTCTAGCCCTAGGATGTTTGCAGCACGTTTCAGATGTGTTCCAGAAGTTTTTTTTGGTCATTGGTTGAAGTTAAATGCCAGAAAATAGCAAAATAGCTTAGTAGGTTCTTATTTTGGTCCAAATCAAAATTTTTGCCTAATGTCTTTTTTGTTGTTTTTTAGGTCAATCTGAAGCCACCGACGTGTTTAGAATGGTTCTAATGATGTTTTGGACCAGGTTTGGGGGTCTTCGGTGGCCTACATTATGTTTTAGGACGATTTGAAGCTCAAAAAAAGGACATAAAACACAAAAAAAGGCAACTGCTGTTTTGCCCAGAATTTAAGATTTTTCGTCACCAAAGGGGTTTTAGCGACGCTGTTCATCGGATTTTTCATCACCAAAGATGTTTTAGCAGCGGTGTTCATCAGATTTTTCGTCACTAAAAGTCGGATTTCCAGATTTTTATGATTACTTATCCAGCTCAAATTCGTTCCAATTTCATTGCATTCCGAGACTTTTAGGAGATATTACGGGTCTATGACATTCCAAGAAGCAAGTTGTGGGTGTTTAAGTTCGTCGCATTGTCTATTCTCTCTCACTTCGACATATTCTACGCTTTGCTCATCCATACCCCTACGCAAACCCGGGAAGTTCTCACCCTCTCTCTCTCTTTAATTGATTTTGCATGACTTAGTTTTCTTTGTTTTAAACATTGAGGACAATGTTTGTCTTAAGTTGTGGGTGATTGAGTTCATTGGTTTCATAATGCATGCAGCAGTCCTCTGTCTTTGTTTTCAATTCTGTTCTTTTGTGCTGCTGTTTTTGTATTTTGGCCCGCGCTTTATTCTTTGTTTTTTCGTTCTGAATCCAACCGTATAAAGATCGTAAACTTTGGCCAAGTATTCTGTGAGATACATGTAATTCTTTGCGCCTGGGTCAGAACTGCAGTTTTGTTTATTGATTTAAAATTCCTTTCAACTTTTAGTTTTTATTTTGTTGTTTTGTTTTGTTTTTCTCTTAAAAAGAAAAAAAAAAATCTGAAAAATGTCATAAAATCCAAAAATATTTTCTTTTACTTTGAGTCTTGTTTTTGTTTTGTTTGTGGTAGTCACTTCCCAATTCTATGATGAGATTGAATTTTATTTGCAATTAACTTTCAAGACATGTTGAGCATGACAATAATTCTTTACATTATCTTTGTGTTAGCCTTATTTTTGTGATTAGACTTGAGAAATCCTTATGCACATAGCCACATTAATATGAGTTTCGATTGGGGATTTCACATGTTTTAAATGGCTAAAAGAGCTAGTGTAAACTTATATAACCCTTATGTGAATTTTTGAGCCTATGCTTCTTTTCTTGAGTGTTATATGATATTCTA